TGATCAAATTCGAAAATCGGACAGCCCTGGCGAATATTAATCGATTATTCGCCGTCGCCACATGCAAGTGCATTTTGCATGATAGGTCCCCTTTAAAAGAAGACCTTAACCTTAATGTGTTAATAAAGGTTAATTAGTTTGTCTGTTTTGCACATCCTCATATTAATATCTTTATATATCCGGCACTAAACTGTTTTATTGTAGAGATCACTTACAGTATCTTCTTGATTTTTTATATTCTATATTTCTATCATTGACCTTCTACTTTCACCCTATGAAAGTATGTACTCTTAATATTTTTTTCATCAAATAACATTATTCAACAAAAATAACATTATTCAACAAAAATAATTCAATAACGTGCTTTAACCACTAGGCGGTGCACACAAGGTACACACAGCATACTAATAATAACTTTGTATTAATAGTGTAGGACACTTATGTATGTATAACATCTGAAGATGTGTAGTTTTATTCATGTTTTTACATAATTTTACAGGATATTGCTATACTATTTCTCATGTTTTACTTCTACACATTAATATCTGATTTGTAAAACATCACAGACAGAAAGGTATATCCGTCATTTAATGGTAAGCTATTGACATTCTGAATCCATAGATGTGTCTCCCATCACCCAAATCCCCTGACTATTCTCTCAACTCAGTATTTACATTCTTATATTCAAAGAAAATCAGTAATATCTTTAAAAACTACAAGTCCTTTTCTATCAGCTGTGCACCGTTATGGTGTAAATATAACCTATCTACCAATTGGATCAAATATAAAAGTCAGCCGAATTACTATTGATACTGCAAGGAGATGTATTTTGTGAAAATAAATGTAAGATATTGTGTAATTGTTGATATATTTATGATCCACGTCACGTATTCAGTTTCGGCGGCAGTTCTTCCTGTTTGTCCAGAAGTCTTCTCATCAGGGCTCTATAAATAAAGAACTACGGCAGATATGTAATATTTAATGCAGCCGAACCGTGTATTACAATGCCGTTATGTGATGACTTTCAAAGAGAAAAGCAAGAACACTCGGAATAAAGTATTATTTTATTTTTAAATGTTTTCGGATTTCACATCGCATAAACACCATCTCCCAACGTGCATTGCGGCTAAAACATCCAATCAGCGAGCTGAGGATCTTTCCTACATCTGTTTCCGGTATTGTTCCTGTAATGAGAGTTCACATTTATGCTATATTGAAGGGTGGAATTGATTACACATCTTCAGAAACATAATTTGCTTCAGATATACTGTAACTCATAGCAATATTGTAACCATTAAGAAAAGTCAACTGCATAAAAAACCCAGTTAACAAACACTAGGTAAAGTATTGTATGTAGACACACCTGGGGTCGCTGTTCTGTCTGTTACGCTGAGCCATGCATTGTCTGGAACGTAAAAGGGACGAAGAAGACAAAGTGAAGTGACGTACTTCCGGTTCCACATGAAAACATTCCCAGTGCAAAAACAAATCGCTAAATAAAAAGATAAAACACTGGCATGTAATTTACGTTAGAATAAATAGAATGGTTTTGAATAATAGATGAGAGTAAAATCTACGTCACTTTACAGCCCCACCCACTTTTGGGGAAACCAACGCTGTCATTTGAACAGCGATCAAGCCTGAAGCCACAGAGCTCTTCTTTTACTGTCCTTTCTTCTTATGCGGCTTTCACACCAGCGCTTTTCCCTTTCTAGCTCCTAGCTAGAGCTTTTCTGGTTCAGCTCCGGTTTCCCTTTTCTGCTCCCGCTCTGTTCACACCGCCCAGAGCTGCCGCTGCTGCGTCATGACGTCACCGTTTACATCGCTGATTTTCTCCCCAACGGAGCTCACAACAACAACAACGGGGGGGGGGGCTGCGTCGGGTCGATGATCGTGTTGCTTTTAATCATACGAAGCCAGATTAAATTAAATAACGACTTCTCCAACCTTATACTTTTCTCCAGAGTGCCGTGGTTCATTGTTTATTAATGTGTTTCAGCGGCATTTACCGACCGCTGCAGTGCTGGCTGCTCTTCCACGGGAGTTTATTCTCCCATTAGCTCCGGGTTAGCTCACACGGCTCTAAAGTATTCACTGTCTGACTGTCACACAAGCAGCTGATACATATCCCCAGTTCCCCTTAAGTGAATGTGTGTCAGTCTGAATTGACGCTGTTTGGCATCACAACGCTGTTATGAAAGTTTCTCTGGTATAACATGGGTGATGTTAGCATAGCAACCGAAGCTAAACTGACTACTTGCTAAGCCGTTTTCTACAGGCACATTTTACCGGCGTATTTTTCATTATGATTCTACATGTGATAGTCGGACATGACAACCTGTGCAGCCCATGTATTGATTCCATCCGATACCTGCTATAATACAAAACAAAACGTCTGCCTCCTCTCCACAATGATCAATAACAGCGAACGGATGGTCAAAGTAAGGTACAAATAAACAGAATCACACGAAGCCTGGTTAGTGTTGCCTGACTTTATAAAGTGTGTTTTTTTTATAAGTGTGTGGTTGCCTTCTAGTCACTTTGCTCAGCGCTACTGCTTGTAGGCAGGCATGACGAGACTCTTCAGTCGACCCATGTTCAGGGTAGGTGGGTTTAGTTTCCTGCACGCCTCGACGTAAGAGAGACGTACTGTAAGCGACGCCGCCTATTAGCTCCGAAGCTCTTGCCTCTAGACCGACAATTTTTTGGAGCTGGAAGTGAACCGCATTCCGGAGCTAAGAGGCGGCGCCGCTGCGGTGTGAACAGGAAAAACCGGTACTTTTCAGGCTCCAGCTCCGAGCCGGAGCTGAAAAAGCGCCGGTGTGAAAGGGGCATTAGAGGAAGTACAGAAACACGTAACTCTGGATTTGTTTTAATGTTTGAGGTGCAATAAACGACATAGCAGCTTTTTGGCATGTTAAAACTATTATTTTCTGCCTCGCTCATGAGAGTAACAGCTAGCGAAATTACAGCCTTGCCTACTGATTTTAATTTAACCATATATCGAGCCCGATCGTTGATTTAAAATGTGTGCTCTAAAAGGATATTTATAAATGACTATTATCATTATAAGCAAGACAATAAATGGCAAAGATATGTAGAAAATAACCGTATTTGAGATACGTTCATAACAAACGTAATGTGGAAGAAAATATGTTTCTAGAAGATATGTAGAAAATAAACGTATTTGAGATACGTTCATAACAAACGTAATGTGGGAGAAAATATGTTTCTAGAAGATATGTAGAAAATAAACGTATTTGAGATACGTTCATAACAAACGTAACGTGGAAGAAAATATGTTTCTAGAAGATATGTAGAAAATAAACGTATTTGAGATACGTTCATAACAAACGTAACGTGGGAGAAAATAAGTTTCTAGCTAAACGTAATTGAGAATGCAGTTTAGTTCTGTGGGAACGTAATTTTTAGGAGACAGGGTTGGCTAAAGTGTGTGGACCCCCCTGCTGGTCTTTTAAAAAAGTTGCAAATTATTATTTTAAATTTCTTTTGGGACAAGTTGCACTGGGTTCCTCAGTGCACGCTGTACCTACCAAAGGAAGAGGGGGGGCAAGGGTTGGTGCACCTAGAGAGTCGAGCAGCTGCTTTTAAACTACAGTTTTTACAAATATACCTGACAGGAAACGATGATGTCGTCTGGAGGCCGGTAGCCAGCACCATTTTAAGGGGGGTAGCAGGCCTGGGTTTGGATGCGTCATTGTTTTTAACAAACTGTGATTTTACTCGTGTGTGTGTTTTGCCTCCGTTTTACAAAGGACTTTTTAAAGTATGGACACTTTTTAAATGGGCCAGAGTGGGTCCCGCAGCATCTCTGTTCTGGCTCCTGGAAGAGCCTCTGGTGTGGGGGGCCCGGCTGGACGTCCAGGACAGCAGCAGACCTGCACTCACTGAGAGGCTTCGGTCCGTTGTGGTCGTGAAGCTGAGGAACATCGTGGATGCTGCAGGTCCTGGACTCCACAACACCGAGGCCGAGGCCGTGGCCTCTCTGCTCGGCCTGAAGTCGGCCCGCCACACCAGAATCATCCTGAACGAGTGGACTAAAAGACTAACTGATGATGAGATGGAGATGCTGCGGGAGTATTCTAACAGGAAGGAAACCCCTGACGAAGGGGACCCTTTTCCAGACATTGGGATTTTAGCAGACCAGGATGGACTAGAACCCAGAACTCATTCAGACTTACAAATGCAGAATGGAAAAGGTTTTTATAGACTCTGCACTCTGGCCCTGAACAAACAGAAACTAAGTGAGAGGAGAGACACGGTGTGGAAACAGAGGCTTAACGTCCCGGGGGGCTGTGAACCAGTATGGAGGCTCTTCTACAAACCTCCACTGAACAAGCGGTCAGGAGACCTGCAGTGGAGGATCCTCCACGGGGCCCTGGGCCTTAACGCCTTTGTGTCGAAAATAAACCCCACCGTGTCCTCCGAGTGTCCGTTCTGCACCGACACAGAGACAATCATTCACTGCTACCTGGACTGTCACAGACTGAAGCCTCTTTTTAATGTTTTAAAAACTGTGTTTTTAGACTGTGGGGAGGTTTCTACAGAGACTGCTTTTATTGTTGGTGCTGGCTACAAGAAACAGAATGCAGGGAAGTGGGAACTGTTGAATTTTATTGTGGGGCAGGCAAAAATATCAATCTACAAAAGCAGGAAAAACAACGTGAACAGTACAGCCGCTCAGCAACTCACTAACATGTTTTTATCTTTGGTAAAGGCACGAGTGAGTAGATTTTAGATTTCACTGTCTGATGAGAAGTATGGAAGAGTTTTTAAACCGGTGGTGTTTCACTACAGCTGTGTGCTCTGTGGTGGGGGAGGAGCTCGCTTTTAACTCTGTCTTTGTGTGAGGAAAAAAGGGGAATTCTTCTCTCAATGCATACAAGAAAATAGTTTAATTGTTTGTTGAAAATCTAAATAAAAGTGTTTTTTTTAAATCAAAAAATCTCTCTCTCTCTCTCTCTCTCTCTCCCTCTCAGAATAATGGAGTACTTGACGATGGTTGTGAGATGGGCCAATCCTCCGCTGGAGCACATAAACTTCGTCTCAGAGTCCTTGATACACTGGCACCTGGGCAGATGGAAGCTGGAGCACCATACACGTCCAGATATTACAGTACTCTGTGCACAGGTTGCCTCTGTACATTTTGCTGAATGTAGCGCCCGCATGCTAGACACACTGAAACACTTATGGGTGGATGTGGATTCTAATGTTATGCAAAAGGAAGAGCTCAGTAAAATGCTGGGAGCGTCGAATGTGTTCCCCTACAGGAACCTGTACAGTGTCACACACACGGACATACAACCAGGACTCAGCTTCTTAGATCATCTAGCGGAGGCCGGGAAAGCACTGAGTGTGCGCGGTTGGGAACAGCTCAAGTCTCTTTGTGTTTCAGACCCGAGTACAAGCTTTAAGATACAATGCAAACACGTAAGTCTCTACACCACACCTGGTTTATACCTAAAGCGCGTTTACGCTCCTCCTAATAAACTTCTTCACCTTTTGCTCTTAGGAACCTCACAGCGTGGCGGTGTTACTGCCGGGGTCTAGGAACCTGATGATAACGGTGCGATGTAGCGAGCCGCAGAGAATACACGAGCTGATGAAGAAGTACGGCGTGACGTGCTCCGGTGTCTTTGATTCCACGGTATGCGTGTCAGCCAGGTCTCCTTGTACCGCGCTGTGTGACTACAAGATGACGGTGGTACACGTAACCATCATACCATCGGACGACCCCTTTTGCGACGAGCCCGACCTGTCAAACTTCTACCACAACATGAGACACGTGCAGATACGCGCACGGCGCAGTACCCTGAGACACAAACCCTACCCTAGCCAGCAGCTGATCGGGGACCTAGATGACATCAGGCGAAAGGGTATACGGATTGCCCTGTACTACAATGGACACAGGACCGACTTGATCAGGGTTATCAAGGAAGATGGAAGATTCCTAGATGATGTCCAGTGTGACGATCCAGGTACTGGGCAGTGGGCGCGTTGCACGCAGCAACTGAGACCGGAATCCGAGCTGACCCTCCGTAAGAACATTCTTAATACATATACCTTGATGTGCAACAGTTTTGTCTAGTGGCTGATGTGTCTCTTTCTCTAGGTACTGGAGCTTCACGGGACTCAGATGACTCGGATATATTCGCTGAGGAGACCGCACGTAAGAACATCATTACGTGATACACCTATCATATGCCTTCACGCGATTGCTGTTCATGTGCAACAGTTTTGTCTAGTGGCTGATGTGTCTCTTTCTCTAGGTACTGGCGCTTCACGGGACTCAGATGACTCGGATATATTCGATGAGGAGACCGCACGTAAGAACATCATTACGTGATACACCTATCATATGCCTTCACGCGATTGCTGTTCATGTGCAACAGTTTTGTCTAGTGGCTGATGTGTCTCTTTCTATAGCTATAGATCAGGAGGACAGTGATGTCACGGTGGACTCCGAAGAGGAAACTGCCCGTAAGAACACTGTTACACATCCAATTTCCTGGCTTACACCTTTACACAATCGCTGTTTATGTGCAACGGTTCCTTCTAGTGGCTAAAACTTCTCTTTCTGTAGCTACTAGGGCTTCGGAAGACACGGAGAGAGTGGGACCTGGAACAGAGCTGACCGTCTGTAAGAACACTAACGGAGCGTCCACACAGCAGCGTTAAAAAAATCTTGGAGGTGGGCGTATCTGAAGCTTGGGGATTTTTTGCGAGCAACGCGACCAACAACCAATCACATGAATCTCCCGCCCCCGACATACAAAGCAAAAAAGCCCGAAGTAAACTGGATATAAACTCCCCAAACAGGCGAAAAACCTACCACTGTCTCTGCCACCTCCCTCCATGCCTGGCTCCTCCGGTTTGTATGCCGGTAGGTAAATAGGGACTGGTCATAAAGCACCGGGTGATTGATTCGCTACCGCTAATTTCTCCTCCATTTTTTGGAATATGAGGAAATGACCTGCGGTATGTCTCTCCCAGCATACACGCCGTTTGATTGGCTAGCGCTTGAACTGTCAGATTTGCATAAACGGGATTTGATTGGCTGACGCTTCCACCTCAGCTTCAAAAGTTGAACATTGCTCAACTTTGAATCCTGAAAATCTCCGCTCTGCTTCCCACAATGCAGTTCGGCGAAAAGTGAGGCAAAGTGACGTCACCCCATTCAAAGTGAATGGGCAGAAGCGTTAGAAGATTTTTTAACGCTGCTGTGTGGACGCTCCGTAATACTCATCCAATTTCCGTTTATGTGCAACAGTTTCTTTCTAGTGGCTAAAACGTCTCTTTCTGTAGCTACCGGGGCTTCGGAGGACACGGGGGGAGTGGAACCGCGAACTAGGGATGCCAGAAACTGACCATGATTAAATTCGAAAATCGGACAGCCCTGGCGAATATTAATCGATTATTCGCCGCCGCCACCGCCATTAGTCTATATTTTGGTTGAAACTAAGCCAGGAAAAAAAAGAAAAACATAAATAATAATAAAAAAATATATAAATAAAATCGAATTTTATAAAATAATTTTCGATTATGGAGACTGTAACAAATATTCGAAAAATCGAATAATCGCTGGCAGCCCTACCGCGAACCGAGCTGACCTTCCGTAAGAACATACATGTTGTCTTTACATTGTGTTATAATATATCTCTCTCATGGTGAACAATATCGCAAAAAGCATCAAGGATAATACAATGCAATAGTGATATGATGTGAAAAGAAAAGGAAAACACAATTATACCCATAGCCGTGGGAACATGTTTCAAATGGGGGGTGCTGTGGGGATGACACCGGGGCCGGTTCTGACCAGTGTTCATCTGTGTTCTTACAGTCTGTTAAAGCTCAGATGCATCTGTGTTTGTACAGTCTGTTAAAGCTCAGATGCATCTGTGTTTGTACAGTCTGTAAGAGCTCAGATGCATCTGTGTTTGTACAGTCTGTTAAAGCTCAGATGCTTCTGTGTTTGTACAGTCTGTAAGAGCTCAGATGCTTCTGTGTTTGTACAGTCTGTTAAAGCTCAGATGCTTCTGTGTTTGTACAGTCTGTTAAAGCTCAGATGCTTCTGTGTTTGTACAGTCTGTAAGAGCTCAGATGCTTCTGTGTTTGTACAGTCTGTTAAAGCTCAGATGCTTCTGTGTTTGTACAGTCTGTTAAAGCTCAGATGCATCTGTGTTTGTACAGTCTGTAAGAGCTCAGATGCTTCTGTGTTTGTACAGTCTGTTAAAGCTCAGATGCATCTGGGTTTGTACAGACTATAAAAGCTCAGATGCATCTGTGTTTGTACAGTCTGTACAAACACAGATGCTTCTGTGTTCTAACAGACTGTAAAAGCTCAGATGCATCTGTGTTCTTACAGACTGTAAAAGCTCAGATGCATCTGTGTTCTTACAGACTGTAAAAGCTCAGATGCATCTGTGTTCTTACAGTCTGTTAAAGCTCAGATGCATCTTTTCACTGACAAGGAATGTTTTCGTTTGAAGGTCCTGAAAATGAAGTTACAGCGAGAGATTTTAAATGAAGAGGAAAAGGACATGTACAGCACTTAGTATGCTGGGTTTTACATACGTGTTGTTTTGAAGCGGTGTGTCTCTCCTCACATCCTTTTTTATGAGTGACTTTAAAGTCTGCACTTTAAATGTCATGGAGCTAGGGATGTGGGGAAGAGGGCTTGTGTTTATGAGCTTTAAAAAATAAAAAAGGTCAATGTAGCAATTCTACAAGAAACGCACAGCGACACTTCAAACGGGACAGACTGGAGGAGGGAGTGGGATGGGGAGGTGGTCTTAAGTGGTCTTAGCAGTACCAGTGCAGGAGTGGCAGTCCTGTTTGCTAAAGACTTTATCCCCAAGTCCCACACAGTGGAGGAAAGAATAAAGGGCAGACTGCTGGTGGTGAGAGCTAATTTTGAGCTTTTTAATCTGGTTTTTATCAACGTATACGCTCCTAATTCAGGTCCTGCCAGAGTTCAGTTTTTAAACGAGCTCAGCGCTGTTTTAAGTGAGTGTGAACCAGAAGAGTTTTTATTTTTAGGGGGAGATTTTAACTGCACACAGAATGACGAGTTAGATAGGAACCGGAACCTCATGCTGCATCCAAAAGAGCCATGACACAGTTAATAGCAACACATAGTCTATCAGACATATGGAGAGAGCATCACACACATCACAGACAGTACACATGGGTCCACTCTAGGGAGAACCTTTTATCAATGGCTAGGCTAGACAGCTTTTATTGTTTTAAGCACCATTTGAATGTTTTTAAAAAGTGTGCTATATTGCCTGTTGGTTTCTCTGACCACTCCCTTGTATTGTGTGATGTTTTTATTGCCAACATAAAAAGCAAATCTGCGTATTGGCATTTTAACACTGCTCTGCTTTTAGATACACATTTTAGAGAGGTTTTTATTTATTTTTGGAAAGGTTTTAGAGAAAGGAAGGGGGATTTTAACTCATTGAAGCAGTGGTGGGATTGTGGGAAAGCCGACATAAAGCAGCTTTGTCTTCAGTACACTCTCAATGTTTTTCGTGACATCACCAAGTCTATGAGAGATCTGGAGACGGAAATAGTGGAACTGCAGAGCTTTGCAGAGTCCACAGGAAATCCAGGTTATATTGAAGACCTCAAATCTAAAAAAAGCCATTTTGGCGGACCTGCTGGGTTCGAGAGCACAGGGGGCGCTGGTCCGGTCCCGATTCCAGAGCGCTTCCCTGATGGATTCACCAACAAAGTACTTCTTCAGTCTGGAGAAGAAGAACGGGCAGGGCAGGCTGATCCACACTCTGAGGTCAGCAGGAGGGCAGCAGCTGACAGGAAACAGCCAGATCCGGCAGAGAGCGGTGGACTTCTACTGCGACCTCTTCACCAGTCAGTACATCGAAGATGATGGAGGTTTTAATCTGTTCTGCAGGGGCCTACCAACAGTCTCTGAAGAGACAAACAAAGAGCTGGACGGGCCCCTGACTGAGGAGGAACTGTGTGCAGCACTCAAGAGCATGCAGGGGGGGAAGGCCCCTGGAATAGATGGCCTCCCCCCAGAGTTTTACAAGACATTTTGGGACTTTTTAAAAGAGGATCTAATGGACCTTTTTAATTAAAGTTTTAATCTTTCCTCCCTCTGAGCTGCAGAAGAACTGTTTTAACCCTCCTTCCGAAAAAAGGTGACTTACAGGAAATAAAGAACTGGAGGCCCGTCTCTCTGCTGTGCACCGACTACAAGCTGCTGTCCAGGGCCCTGTCTTCCAGGCTGAGGAAGGTGATAGACCAGGTGGTAGACCGGACCCAGACCTACTGTGTGCTCGGCAGGTCAATTGTTGACAATGTGTCACTAATTCGAGATATTTTGGAAGTCTCTGGTTCATTGGGTTTCGACACTGGTCTGGTTTAATTGGACCAGGAAAAGGCTTCCGACCGGGTTGAGCACCGTTACCTGTGGAAGGTGCTGGAGAGGTTCGGCCTCAGCCCGGGCTTCATCGCCATGATAAAGGTGATGTATGTGAACATTGAGAGTGTGCTTAAGATAAATGGCGGTCTGTCTAGACCCTTTAATGTGACCAGGGGGATAAGACAAGGCTGCTCGATGTCAGGTATGTTGTACACACTGGCAATAGAGCCCGTGCTACACAATATCCGCTCTTTTAATGAGGGTCTGTTTTTACCTGGTTTTGATACACGTTTTATTTTATCGGCCTATGCAGACGACATCATTGTTTTTATAAAAAATCAACAGGATGTTTTAAAGCTAGGACAGGTAATGGATACTTTCCAAAAGCTCTCCTCTGCGAAAGTCAACTGGGCCAAAAGTGAGGCCCTAGCAGTGGGGGAGTGGATTGGTGGCCTCCCTCAACTCCCAGGTGGGTTGACTTGGAAGAGGGGTGGCATCAAATATTTGGGGGTCCATCTTGGAGATGAGGGCGCACTGGGGAAAAACTGGGAAGGAGTTTTAGAAAGGGTGGAGGGGAAACTCAACAAGTGGCGCTGGTTACTTCCCCACATGTCATACAGAGGCAGGGTGCTGGTCATCAACAACCTGATAGCATCCAGCCTCTGGCATAAGCTAAAGTGTGTGGACCCCCTGCTGGTCTTTTAAAAAAGTTGCAAATTATTATTTTAAATTTCTTTTGGGACAAGTTGCACTGGGTTCCTCAGTGCACGCTGTACCTACCAAAGGAAGAGGGGGGGCAAAGGTTGGTGCACCTAGAGAGTCGAGCAGCTGCTTTTAAACTACAGTTTTTACAAATATACCTGACAGGAAACGATGATGTCGTCTGGAGGCCGGTAGCCAGCACCATTTTAAGGGGGGTAGCAGGCCTGGGTTTGGATGCGTCATTGTTTTTAACAAACTGTGATTTTACTCGTGTGTGTGTTTTGCCTCCGTTTTACAAAGGACTTTTTAAAGTATGGACACTTTTTAAATGGGCCAGAGTGGGTCCCGCAGCATCTCTGTTCTGGCTCCTGGAAGAGCCTCTGGTGTGGGGGGCCCGGCTGGACGTCCAGGACAGCAGCAGACCTGCACTCACTGAGAGGCTTCGGTCCGTTGTGGTCGTGAAGCTGAGGAACATCGTGGATGCTGCAGGTCCTGGACTCCACAACACCGAGGCCGTGGCCTCTCTGCTCGGCCTGAAGTCGGCCCGCCACACCAGAATCATCCTGAACGAGTGGACTAAAAGACTAACTGATGATGAGATGGAGATGCTGCGGGAGTATTCCAACAGGAAGGAAACCCCTGACGAAAGGGACCCTTTTCCAGACATTGGGATTTTAGCAGACCAGGATGGAC